GCAGTCAAGTTCGTGCTACGGGAGAGAGAGCCGAGCGTTTTGGAACTTGAGCCAGAAATTGGGGCGGAGAAAATTGGCGCCCTGGTTGAGGGTGACGAGTTTGATGAGATGCCCGAGGCTGCTGGAGCGAGAATGCTAGCGTTAACCCGACCGCCTAGTAGTGCAGTCGTTTATCAGTTTTTACTCGCTTGAGAGTAGTAGTATTTCCTTTTTGACTTATTCTTAAGACTTTAGTCTTTTCTATTTTTTTTTATTTGCACGTTTTTGCTTTATAAATGGAATTTTATTTTTGTTTTATTTCCATTTCGCAATTTTCGTGCTTTTGTTGTTGTTTTTTTTTTTTTTTACTTAGTGGGTGATCAGTCCCCTAAGTTTTTGTGTAGGGGTTCCGCATTTTTGCCTGCGGAGTCCTTGAGAATTTGATTTCTCTATCAATTTGTGCTTTGGGGAGTGAGATAACAAAGTTCGAGTTGGCCAGACCCTTGTGATCCTTGTTATCTTCCCCTTTAGCAAGAACTTTTTTTTTTTTTTTGGGAGTCGAGTGGCCATCCCTTTGATTCAAGCACTGCATAGTAATAATAAAAATATTATATAATAAAACAAAAATTAATTGTCATGACATAAAGGAACCGGTCGCAGATTAGAGTGGGCAATATGCCTCGAGCGAAAATATTTTATTTAGCTTCATGTGGCAGGCGATATGCTGCCAACTTATTACATAATTTAAAAGCGTTGCGGCGAGCGGTATGCTCCCGATTTATTCCCTAGCTTAAGCATTACAGCGAGCGATATGCTCCTGATTTATTAAAAACAAAGAAAAAATTGCTCGCCCAAAGTGCTAAGCGAAATATTTCTTCAAATTCCCTATGTTCCAAGTCCTTGGAACTTGACGGCCATCCATATGCTGAAGCCGGTAAGCTCCGGCGTTGACCACTTGAGTAACTTTGTAGGGTCCTTCCCATTTTGGATCCAACTTTCTGACAGCCTTTGAAATCCCGACTCTTCGGAGTACCAAGTCTCCTACTTTAAATGATCTTGGTTTGACTCTTTGGTTATAGGCCCGCGCCATTCGAGCTTTGTAAGCTTCCATTCGCATAGTAGCACCCTCTCTGACCTCATTCACAAGATCCAAACTTGCTCTTATCGCCAGATCATTATGTTGGATTAAGTAGTTGGATATTCGCCATGATGGTTGCCCTATTTCGGCTGGAACGACGGCTTCCATTCCATAAGAAAGATTGAAAAGTGATTCACCGGTGGAAGTTCGGGGAGTTGTACGATAAGCCCATAAGACACTAGGGAGTTCCTCGACCCATGCGCCCTTTGCTTCTCCTAATCTGGCTCTGAGGTGTTGCAAAATTGTGCGGTTTGTAACTTCAGTTTGGTCGTTAGCTTGCGGGTTTCCTACTGAAGTAAAGAATTGCTTGATTGATAGTCCTTCACACCAGTCCGCGACCTTGCTTCCGCAGAACTGAGTTCCATTATCTGATATTAGGGCTCGTGGTATCCCAAATCGGCATACCACATTCTTCCATAGGAACCGAATGACGTCGGCCTCAGCTATTTTAGCCAAGGGCTCCGCTTCCACCCACTTGGTGAAATAGTCAACTGCTACGATTAAGAATTTGCGTTGTCCACTAGCTTGCGGGAATGGCCCCACCAGATCTATCCCCCACTGTGCGAAAGGAATTGGGCTATCAATTGGTTGGAGAAGAGATCCAGGTACGTGAGTAATGTTGGCGTGTATTTGGCAAGCTCTACATTTCTTCACTAATTCTTTAGCGTCTTGACGCATAGTTGGCCAGAAGTATCCTTGACGTAACGCTTTGATGGCTAGTGCTCGCCCTCCCAAGTGGTTCCCACAAATGCCTTCATGAATTTCACGGAGAACGTATCTTGCTTCGTCCGGTCCGAGACATCTTAGGTAAGGTGCCGAGAAACCTCTCTTGTATAGCTCATCCCGGATAAGTAGGAATCGAGCGGCTTTTATTTTTAATTTCCTCGCCGCTGCTCCGTCCTGGGGCAACTCTGACGTGGAAAGATATTTTATTATCTCATCCTTCCAACACGGAGTGTTACTGGTACAAAGGATTTGTGTGCCTGTTTCTATCTCGGGTTTGGTGGAAGAGAGAAAAGTGATCTTGCGACTGTCGAGCTTTGACATGGAACTTGCTAAGCGAGCCCATTCGTCCGCCATGGCGTTTTCGGCTCTAGGTATTTGTCTGACTTCCACCTTCTCGAAACTTGCCATGAGACGTTTTACCAACTCGAGGTACTTAATTATACTTTCTTCTTTGGCTTCGTATGTTCCTAAGACTTGGTTTACTACTAGTTGGGAGTCACTGTGTGTAACCAACTACTTAGCTCCGGCTGCTTGAGCTAACTTCAATCCAGCTACAAGGGCTTCATATTCCGCTTCATTATTCGAAGCCGGAAATTCTAGCTTCAGTGCGTACTCCAAAGCATCGCCTTCGGGACTCGTGATCCAAATTCCTGCTCCACTACCCCCCGTGGTAGAGGAACCGTCTACATAAACTGTCCACGTCGGTGTAGAACACGTAGATTCGTTAAAAGTCATTTCGACGAGAAAATCAGCAAGGACTTGTGCTTTGATTGTCGGGCGTGACCGGAACTCTACCCCATACTCACTTAGCTCGATCGCCCATTTGGCCATCCTCTCCGATGTTTCAGGACTTTGGAAGATTTGTTTAAGGGGGAAATTTGTCAACACCACCACCTGGTGTGATTGGAAATAGGGCCGCAATTTTCGTGCTGCCGTGATTAATGCTAAGGCCAGTCGCTCTATATTTGAATATCTCTGCTCGGCTCCCCGTAGGGCGCGACTGACGTAGTAGATGGGTTGATGCCCTCTTTCACCTTCGAGTACCAAGACCGCGCTGATCGCCTCTGACGTAGTTGCTAAGTACAATAAAAGTTCATCTCCTTCCCTTGGTTTGGTCAGGAGGGGAGGTGACGCTAGGTATCGCTTTAGTTCCTCGAATGCTTTTTGGCACTCTTCTGTCCACTTGAATTTATTCCCCTCTCGCAGCACTCTGAAGAAAGGAAGTCCTTTGTCTGCTGAACGGGAAATAAATCGATTCAATGCCGCCAAACAACCGTTTAATTGTTGGACATTTTTTATGGATTTAGGTGGGGCCATGTTGATCAGGGCGTCAATCTTGGCCGGGTTTGCTTCGATTCCGCGCTGCGAGATCATATAGCCTAAGAATTTGCCGCCCTTCACTCCGAAGGAGCATTTCGAAGGATTTAGTTTCGTTTCGTTTTGTATTCTTCGAGGTCCTTCAAGTGGTTTTCGGCCTTAACGCTTTTAACTAACATATCATCGATATACACCTCCATGTTACGCCCAATTAGATCAGCAAACATGGTATTCACCAATCGTTGATAGGTTGCTCCCGCGTTTTTGAGGCCGAATGGAATTACCTTGTAGCAATAAATGCCTTGGTCGGTAATGAAGCTCGCTTTCTCTTGGTCCTCAGGGGCCAGTTGGATCTGGTTGTACCCTTGGTATGCGCGTCTAGAAAGCTTAACAACTCACATCCTGAGGTAGAATCCACCAGCTGATCGATCCTTGGGAGAGGGAAACGATCTTTAGGACAAGCTTTGTTTAGGTTAGTGAAATCCACGCATAAGCGCCATTTTCCCCCCGATTTCGCCACAAGGACAACGTTTGACAACCATTCGGGATATTGGACCGGGCGTATTTGACCAGCTGCAAGGAGTTTATCGACCTCCACTTTGATGTGTTTATTACGTTCTGGTCCAAAAGTCCTTTTCTTTTGTTTTACCGGCTTGAGTTTAGGGTCAACGTCAAGCCGATGAACAATTTTAGATGGAGGAATTCCTTCGAGATCTTCCGCTCTCCATGCAAAAACATCAGCGTTTCTCCGAAGGAACTCTACGAGCCTTGCTTCTGCTTCGGGCTCAAGGTTGGTTCCTACTCGGAGTAGTTTATCTTGATCGCCCGGGATCAATTCTACACTTTTCAGTTCTTCTACTGCTGCGAGTCTTGTGCCGTCGGCATCTTGATTGGTCAAGGGAGTGATGAAGTCGTCTTTGACAGCCATCACCCATTTTCTCTTTAGATAATTGGGAGTATCGTCCCCCCCTCCCACTAGCTTTGTGTTCCGAAGTTGAGGTGCCTTCAAAGTGTTCGCATAGCATTCTCGAGCTATGCGTTGATCGCCTACGGCTTCTCCAACTCCGCTAGCCGTAGGAAACTTCAACTTCATATGATATGTTGACGGGATTGCTCTGAAAAGGTTCATACTTGGCCGCCCCAAAATGACGTTATACGTTGACGGTGCCTTGACGACTAAGAAGTTGACCGTGTTTGTCGCTCGACACGAGAATGAGCCCAAAGACAAGACTAAGGAAATTTCTCCCACAGCTTCGACGGCATGTCCTGTAAAACCTACTAGGGGTGTTTTCACAGGTGCGAGTTTCGCATTGGCAATCCCTAGTTTTTCGAAGGCGTCGTAATATATAATATCAGCCGAGCTACCACCGTCCACCAAAATCTTCTTCACTAAATAATTAGAAATTGATGCAGAAATGACTAAAGCGTCGTTGTGTTCACCACGTGGTCCTTTGAAATCGTCGTCGCTAAATGTAACCTCTGAGTTTGGGTGGTGAACGTGGTAAATATGCTCCACTGGACGTTCTGTCGTAGAATACGAGTCTCTTGCTGCCCGCATTGATGCTCGTCGTGCGCTAGGAGTGTCACCGCTTGAGGGTCCTCCGGAAATAACTGCAATTATTCCTTGAGTCGGAAGATTGTCATCCTCCCGATCTTTCCTAGGGTTGGGACGTTCTCCTTTCTGCTGGAAGCGGGGTTTATTTTGGAATTTTTGGTGTCGTGGCGCATCCACGAATTCTCCAAGGTGCCCTTTTTTAATTAGTCTCTCGATTTCTTGCTTTAGTTGAAAGCATTCGTCGGTAGTGTGTCCCCGATCTCGATGGTACTCGCAGTATTTTTCTCATTTTTGCCTTTTCGGATTTTCTTTCATCTGTCTCGGGGGCTGGACTAAACCTTTCTGCTCCGCTACCATCCAAACTTCCATGAGTTTCGCTTTTAGGGGAGTAAACTTTGGGTAGGTAGGGGCGTGGATCGAACGTCCTTCTTCCTTCTTTTTTGCCTCATGGCGCTCTTCTTCGCGCTTCCTTTTGACGGGAAGTCCCATCTCTACGGCCTCTTCTATCCGGATAAACTTCTCCGCTCGATTCAGAAGCTCCTCCAGAGTTTGCGGGGGTCGTCCTGCTATGGATTCTTGGAAGCGAACGTGCCTCAAGTTATGTTGCAGTATATCGGCTAGTAGGTCGTGGTTAACATTGGGCACCTCGTGCACAGCTTTGACGAACCGTTGTACATAATCTCTCAACGGTTCTACTTCGCGTTGTTTGACTTTGAAGAGGTATGACCCGGTTTTGGCGTATCGCTTGTTGATGGAATACTGGCTAAGGAAACGTTCCGATAATTGGCCCAGGCCATCCAATGATCCTCCAGGCAGACCGTTGAACCAAGTTTGTGCTTGATCAGTTAAGGTAGTTTGGAAAATTTTGCAGTAAGCGGCATCACTGAGGCCGTAAAGGTCGATCTTAGCGAAGAAATTGTTAAGGTGAGTTTGAGGATCTCCGGTTCCATCGAACTGGGGCAGATTGGGGATCCCAAATTCGAGCGGTAAAACTTCCTCCATAATGGCCGGAATAAAGGGGCTTATTCGGGCGGGGAGTGTTCTTAATCGAGCGGCTGATCTTGAAATTTCTCGTCGTGGGCTTCTTGAATTACGTTTGTTACCATTTTCGCGGTGCCTTCTCGTTTCTTCAGTCTGAGAGTACCTACTCCCATGTTCGTCTTGTGGGGAGTTGCCTCGGCGAAAGGATCGTCCGCTACGTCTATCGTCTCGAGGCTCATGGCGTGTAACACTCGGCCGTGAGGATCCACTTCTTTCTCTGCGGCCTCGCGCAGCTCTCTCCCTTGAGGGAGCCTGTTGCCTTAGGGGTCGTGGTGATCGACCATGCGTTTCTCTTCGAGGAGCCTGGTCCGAGGCCGAGCTATGCTGAAGCGACCGGGGCTGGGCATACCTTCGGGGAGCCCGTTCTGAAGAAAAGCTTCGGTCGATAAGCGACACCCTTTCCTCAGAGTCGTGGAGTTCTACGATGGGCGGGGTTTCATGGACGTGAGCGGGCTCCGTGGGGTCGCTCTCTGAAAGAATCGGCTCCACGAAATCACTATAGCCTTGGGCGCTAATTTACTGAGCTACTGCGTCCGCCGCCGCCCAAGCCGCTGCCTTGGCCGCGGTCTCGTCCATCATCGCTTGCAACTCCTCCGTCGTCATTTGGATGATCGGCGCTGAAGGTCCCGCCGTGTTGGTTGCTCCCGCCGTCCTCTTTCTTCGAGGCGGATCCGGGATCCCACCGCCGGCTCCTTGCTGAGGCGGATTAAGGCTACCTTGACCACCTCCTCCAGTGTCACGTGATCGAGTTTGCATTCCCACAGACGGCGCCAAAATGATGCTGCTCAAATGCTATTTGGACAACCCAAAAGTCCTTGAGCCCACAAAGATAGAGAATGCCGTGAGTCACTGCCACGTGTCCGAGGTAGTCGAATGGACTGCTCCGTTCATTAACCTACAAAACAATTGAAACACTAGATGACACGCCGTGTTTGGCCCGGCGATTATCCTCCGACGCTCAAGTCAGAAGATGTATTAATATAAGCAAATAATAGTAATTAATTGCCAAATTAGAGTGTACCTTCCTATGTGAAATGACACATACATTTATAGGTAGATGAGTAGGTAGGACTTTTGTAAAAATCCGATGTGGGGCAATGTGTTGTCATTTTTAAAGGCAAAAAATAATCTAATTGAGTTTTCACACACAATTAGATTAATTAGGATAATTTGGGCCTAATTTTAATTAGGTTTATGGGCCTAATTATGATTAGACACATCACCTATAAAGAATTAACCGTCCCACTACAGATTTTTTATTCGATTTTTGCCCTTCAAGATATACTAAAATTCACTTTGGTAATTAATATCTATCACGGAGTGAAAGTGATAAGATTAAAATTGATTAAAAAAAAAAAAAAAGATAAACTACAACCATCCCAAATATATGGTCAAATTACGAAAAACACTCATGTTTGGGTAATTACTTACAACCACCCCTCAATTATAAATCTTCTTACACCTTCACCTTTGCGGTTTCAAATTTAGTGGGAATGTTATCACTTTTGTACCCATTTTATCACATTCGAACTCCACATTTTGAATCAAGATGATCATAATATGTGTTTTTTGGCTTGTATATATCAGATTGTGGTGCATCAGAAACTGTATTTTTACACAAAACGAGTACAAACTAGAGCACATTCCACGAAATCTAGATGATTATGTTGAATTTGACACCGTGAGGGTGGAGGTGTAAGAAAAAATCATAGTTGGGGGAAGATGTAATTATCCAAACAAGATGGGTTTTTTCGTAATTTACCCTTAAAAACAAAATAAAACAATAATAAATTAATAATACAAAGAATAAATGCTGGGTTTGCTATCCGTCTTCTCTCATTATTCATGTGATAGTGGTAAAAGCTCAAAAGAGCCAAAAAAAAAGAAGGAACCTTTTCTCTCTCTCTCTCTCTCTCTCTCTCTCTCTAGAAATGCTGAAGAGACAAGAGAGTTCACTCTCATCGTCTCGCCGTCAGGCGGCCGCTGCCGCCGCCGCGACACCACCGCCGGAAACTCACCATGCAAAAGCCATCGGTTGCATGTCCGGCCTCATTCAACTCTTCTCCAAATATCAAAATCCCAACAAACGCCTCACATTTGGTTAGAAAATTTCAATCACTGATCTCTTCCATTATACATACACCTATACATACATATATATAATTATATATTTTCCCAATAATTAACAGCATTTTTCCGTTTCCCGCAATTTCAGGTAGAAAGCATGAAAAGCGGAAGCCTACGTCACCAACCAAAACCAAAGAATCACTTCCGGCCAAAAATCCTCCATTCTCACCCAAACAAGACAGATCTAAAAAGCAAAATTCCGATGTAAAAGTGCCGAGGAGCCCCACCCTTCCGCCGGAGATCCGGCGATCGGACGCCGCGAAATCGCCGCACAATCCGAGGACTCCGTCGTCCTCGCTGGTGGCGAGGCTGATGGGTCTGGAGGATATCGGCGGCTGCGCCGCCGTGAAACGGGCGGCGCCCGAGGAAGACCGCACCGCCGCCGAGAAAAGGCAGCGCCTGCTGGAAGCTCTGGAGAAATGCAACGAGGATTTGGAGGCGCTGAAGAGGATCATCAAGGCGGTGCAGACCTCCGACGTGCGCCTACAGCCGCCGCCGCCGCATCGGAGTGTAATACTGCATTCCAGCGGCGGAGATAATGAGGGTTCAATGTTGTTGGTGAAACCGTACATAGAGAAGTGTACGGACGCGGGTGATGAGAAACGGAATATTCCGGTGGAGGAGGAGTGTCTGTTAACTCGTTCACCCCTCAGCGGCTTTTCCGGCGCCGGCGCCGTACAGAATACTAATACTGCAGGTCAGTCTCTTTATTTGAAGGCGTGCACAAATTCCATTATAGCATAATTACCAATTTACCATGATCATATTAAATAATCATATAACATAATTAAAATAGTTATCTTCTGTTAAAAAAAAATGTCACGCCCTCTGGTACATTAATGATTAACATGTACCATGGATCATTTTTGTTTAGATGAAGTATATTATTTTATATCTTACTCATTAAATTATTAATTAGATAAGAGTTGTGTAACACGGACACGGAAACGGTGAAATGCGGAAATTGGAAAATGATATATCCTAAGGGATACGGGAGTTGGGGGAATATGTAAATATTAAAAGTATAGGGGTATATTTATAAATATGCTATATGAACATATATAAGTTATATATATATATATATATATATATATACAATTTTTTTTACATATTTTCATGTAAAAATATTCAAAATAAATTTTACTACCAACTATCAATTTGAAATTAATTGATCATTAAATTATTTAAATAATCAGGGAATCAACAAAAATATTTGAAAATGTACTATTCAAACGTATTTCTAACTTTTTTAAAATTGCAAAATACCCCATAAGGTGTCCGATATGTGTCTGACACGAAACGTGTCCGAAACGTGAAAACGTTAAGAAAGTTGAAGTTTTCGTACCGCATAATTGTTAAAATAAAATTAGTATAATTCTATAAATCCAAGTGTTTAATCATAATTAATAGTTTAATATTACAATACTAGTCAGAGGAGATGAAAAAAAGTGAAAAGTGAAACAGAATTGAGTGCATATAAATATGTGGGCTGTAGCTACAACAGTGAAGAAGATCTATCATTGTTTACCAGAGCTTTAATTTTGCTTTAGAATGACACTCCACTTTCTTTGGTTGGTTCTTTATTTATTTTTGGGTCCACAAATCTCCACTTTTATCTATTCTTGCCCCTTTAATTTTTTGTGTTTTCGATTGAGTTATCTCTCTAACGGTTACTTATTAGTTATAGTAATTAACCCATGTTCTTAATCATCATTACTCATTAGTATGTACCCATTAGCCAGGGCGGTTCTGAGGGGAGGCGAAGTAGGCGGTCGCCTTGGGCCCCCGAATTTTTACGAAAATTTGGCGCCCCCAAATTATTTTATTTACACTTTATATATTAGTACTTATACTTAAAAAAAATATTATATATAATACTTTGGAATATCAGTTCTAAAATAAATTTAAGCTAAATAATTAATAGATATTTTTGCAATTTTCTTAACTTTGGGGCCCCTAAATATTAAATTTATAATGTCTTAATTACTTATTTTTATTCTAAAATAAAAATCAATATTCATTAGTGTATTCAAGTTTATAAATATTTATGAAGTCTATTTGCTATAAAGATTATACGAGGGAGGAAGTGAACCAACAAATCATATTGTTAATTTTGAATTTTTTTTCCACATTTTTAGCTACTTTATATTCATACATTTCAAAAAATATTTTGGGGGCACCGCCCCCGAACCCCCATAATAAAACAATATGGTTTATTAAATAGGGCCCCTCTTTTCAATTGTTCTTTAAAAACTCGCCTAGGGCCCCCGAATTCTCAGGAACGGGCCTGCCATTAGCATAACTTAAATGTTACTAATACAGTCGTGACTTCGTACGTGTGATTTTGACCATTTTTTGGTCTGATTTTGAAAAAGAAAAAAAATTAAAATATTGAAGTTGTAGTTCTTTGAGTTAGATTTTAATCGAAATTAAATTAGTTAGATTGGATGTAGTGTGACAATTATGCATGAATAAGTTACATTTTGAATATTAGATAACTCAAAACATTGAATTAGTGGTGGGGATGATCAGACATCCAATCTCGGTGATTTTAGTTGCATATGTTAGAAAGATATCTAAAGAACTACAATTCCGTATTTTGAGTTTTTCTAAAGTCAACCTGCAAAGTATTTTGTAGTCAAAACCATATTTAAAGTCGAAACAGTATTATTAAGACCGAAAAGAAAAACATAATTTATGAACCACGCTTTTATATATGCAGGAGCGACGAAAATACACGCAACGACACAACAACGCAAGCCCACGTCAGCGAAGAAGCCAGGCGAAGACGACGAACCAACAGCCGCCAAACTACTCAACACCGATTCAACGCTCCAGATGAGGCGGCGGGCAGCGTCCGCCGCCGTAGCGCCATCGTGGTGCAGTAGGGCGATGGTCCATAGTGTAGAAGAAGTCTGCGTCGACATCGCTTGGGGCGAAAAGAGGGAGGTTGGGAGAATAGGGCTTGTTTTGCAGGATCATTTATGCAGAGAATTGATTGAAGATCTTGTTAAGGAGATGAATTCTAATTGGCCAATTCGTCCTTTGCCCCTTGAAGCATGCAAGAGGAAGCTTTGTTTCTAATGTATTTGTTTGTTAGTACTAATTAGTACAATTTGCCATTTGATCAAGATACATGTAGTGTGTGTGTGTGTGTGTTTCTTGATCTTTTTAATTTGGTATTTATACTACTTTCAATAAAATGATCAAATTATGTTCCATAGAAGAAAATATTACAATACGAAATAATATTAGGGGAAATGAGTGATAACCCTCTACTTTTGAAAATATATATGAGGAGACCCAATGAGTTTTTTTGTCCTAGTCAAAAACCCAAATTTTGATCTTAATTTGTCAGACCCCCCTGGACCAAAGGATATGACTGTTTTACCCTTATTGGGCAGTTTTTGGGAATTAAGACACGATGAAAGTCACGATCTCTCATTTGATTTTCTCTTCCACACATTAAACCCTAAGTTTCTCTCCACCCACAGCCCTTCGCCTCGAAGCGCCGCTCCTCACATCCCTAGTGTCGCTCCACCATCTTATCTCAATCCGTCCCCTTCAAACCCGTCGCAGCAAGATCTGAAGCCAAAGTTCAAGCAGGGGAACGACAATTGTATTGCAGTCTGCTCTTGCGAGTGGATTCTCGATCCGGTGATCGGCTGAGAACGACAACTGCGATACTCGTGCCAGATCTGGCGGCGCGTGCGGGTACAATCAGGATGCGCGTCGTTTGATTGCAGTTTGCTCTTGTGAGTGGATTCTCGATCCGGTGGTCGGCTGAGAACGTCAATTGCGATGTATGTGCCAGATCCGACGACGTGTGGGGGTACAGTCAGGATGCGGTGTCGTTTGGTTTCTATTGCAGTGACGAGCGTCGTGATAGCAGTTGCATCGATGATACCCCACCCGGTGGAGGAAACAGTACGTGTATCTGATTCTTCATTTTTTACAATATTATTTATATTTCTATTTAATTAATAAAAATAGTTGCTACGGTGTGAATTATCTCTCCACTCATTTTTACAATAAACTCCACCATAATTAATATTCTTTTAATCACAGGTTTATCTAATGTCAATCTCTGTAATAAATGGAATCATTATTCACACACACACAAACTTGTTTATCCTTTTAAGATATATTCAGATGAAAATACCTAAATTGTAGTTTAATTGCTTGCTTGTTAAACCTATATTAACATGACTACATGTGTAAGTTATGATGTGCCTGATTTTGTTGGTTTATTTGAGGACGAGAGCTACCTTGTTGAGAGGACAGGTTGTACGTTTACAAAATTGTTGTAGAAAGAAGGAATGATATGCCTGATTTTGTTTGGAATCTGAATGAAGATTCAATTATAGATAATTGTAGTCATATATAGTCACATATAGTAATATGTAATAACATATAGTAATATGTAGTAACATAGGCGTGTGATTGTGTATTTCGATTTATATTTGTTGGTTATGAGTTGATTTATAATGTAAATAATTAAATTGGACTTGATTTTTCGTCACAAGTTTTGGTTTTTGAACAACTTCTATGCACTAAGTTTTTGCCGGTAGAAGATGGTGCATTTTCCATTTTTCTGTTCGTTTTCTCTAAATCGTATTTTCCATATATAGTCACATATAGTCATGTACGTGTAGCCGTCTATAGTCACATGTAGTAACAAGAATGAACATAACTACATGTGACTATAGTTGACTACATATAGTCATATATAGTCATATGTAGTAACATGAAGACATAACTACATGTGACTATAGTTGACCAAAGTAAATTTATCAATAAAGTGTTTTTCATTGTTTTTTTGTATTTTTCATGTAATGTAATTCGAATTTTGCAGGTGTTTTTTGAGTTCAACAAAGTAAATTTTGTACATCCATCATCGAATTTTGCAGTTATTTTTTGAGTTTTGGTTTTAATTTTTTTTCTTTTTTTGTGTGAAGCTGTGAGTTTAATTTTAGGAGTCGACTTGTACATAAAACGCGATTGTTGTGGCAAGAAATATATAAAAAAAAAAAAAAAAAACTCGAAACTTGTTCCTGGTGGTGGTGCGACAAAACTGACTGTTCACCCATTGAAGGCATAGAAAAGGTAATGAATTTTAATGTGCTTCTTAATATATTGAATCACTGTTTATTGGTCCTCAAATGTTTTGTTTACGTTTTTATACTTGGGAGTATATGTAGATTCGTGATGAGAATATTTTGTTGGTAATATGATATTGATATTTTATTTATCGAGAATGAAATAGGTGACTACTTTACGTGTGTTTCAACTATTATTTTATCTATGTTCCACTTCAACTTGCTTTGATCTTTGACCTTTGGTTATACGGAGAATAATGATTAGCATACTCTGTTTGTAATTTGATTTTGATAATATAAGCTGTTCCGTATCGCCTGGAGAACAAAGTCAGGTACTTTAAGGGACAAATAAAGTCACATACATGTATATAGTCACATGTGGTCATATACATGTAGTCATATATAGTCATGTGTAGTAACATACAATAATATATGGTGTAGTCACATATAGTAATATATAGTCACGTGTAGTAACATACAGTAATATATGGTGTAGTCACATGTAGTAATATATAGTTATATATAAACTATGTAGTCATGTAGTCATGTAGGAGTTATGTGGGGAGTATCTATGTATAGCAGTAGGTGATAGTGCGTGTGTGCACATTTAAATTTGAAGCAAAATTCGTTGTTTGTTTAACTCGTTTTCTTTTTCACAGGTCTTGGTGTTTGAACTACTATGTAGTAAGTTTTTTCACAGGTTTTGGTGTTTGAACTACTATGTAGTAAGTTTTTGCGGAGTGGATTGTGTTCGTTGTTCAAAACAAGCGGTTCTCGTGTTGACAAGTGCGATTTGAGTCAAATTTGGTCGTATAGATAACTGTAGTCATGTATAGTTCCATGTAGTTATATATATTTATATACAAGCTATGTGGTTTTTTTTAATGTATAGTGATCTTGATAATTGTATTTTTTTTTTCACTTTTTTGTTAGACATTAAATTATTTATAATATCAAGAATAAAATTTTGAATTTTTTTATTGGTATAGATGATTTTTTTATATATAATCAATGGTTTTATAATCGATCGACCATAACTTTGGGGTAAAAAAAAGTACATGGCTACATATGACTATACATGACTGTGGTATACTATAGTCATGTGTAGTCAATTTCAGTACAGTAAATTAAAAATTAAAAAATTAAAAATTAAAAAAAAATTAAAAAAATTAAAAAAATTAAAAAAAATAATATAAAAATTAAAAAAACAAAATGAAAAAAATTAAAAATTAAAAATTAAAAATAACTAAAAAATAAAAAATAAAAAAATAAAAAAACTACAAAAATATGGTACGTATAAAAAATAATAATAAAATAAAAATTTATATTTTTTTATTAAAAATCTGAAAAAATGATAAATGCAGGTCTAAAAGTGTGGAGTGCAGTTAGTTATAATGCTGAATGCAGTTGGAAAAGCTGAATGCAGTTGGTTAAAATTTACAAATAAGGGCACAATAGTACTTTTGCCTCTCCAGGGGTGTATCTCAGAGAAAGAATTTTAGGGGTGGACTTATCCCTATATATTTTCCATTCTAGGGGTGTATATCAAATGGCCCCATAATATTAATATATTGTCACAATTACATTGAGGGTAAAATTGGTATAGAAATTTGAAAAAAAATTGTAATTCAATCATAAGGGTGTTTTGGTAATTTCTCATGAATAATTTTCCAGTTAAGTATAAAACACCAAGAAATACTACGACGTTTTAAAATGAATTTGTGGGGCTATCTTGAGCCCATATGAAAAACCCTTCAATTAAATAGAAAATATAGCCGATAAAAATTATGGGCCAATTTTATAGTTAGTGTTTATTATATGCAACAAAGCCCAACCCAAGAAAAATAGTCACTATTGGAAGACAAGCCCACGAGATAGGTCCGACCCATCCCGAACCAAAGGAATATTGACCCGATCGGAGTAAATTAGTCTTTTCTTTTTTCTGAAATCAACGGTCGAGATCATTGGGAAAATGAAATTGAAAATCGAATCAGAAATCGGCCCCGAACTGTCAGGACTCGGGCGGTCACAACCCAACCCCCATTCGGGCCGGTTACGGGTCGTGGTTTTTTGACCCGGAGGTTCGAACCGGTGTGCATGACTATATTGAACTAATTTTTTTTTCCTTTACCCAAGGCATAATACAAAAAAAAAATTATATTATGTTAATATATTCTAATTCTACCACAGCCAAATAAAATTAAAAATGGAATACTATTCCCTTAATCACTAATAATTAGTTTAACATATAAAAGCCACCATTTGTGACTTAAGTCAAAATAGTTAATCTTAGTGGAGCATTAATTAAGTAAAAGATGGGCAAATGAGAACATTGGAATGAGGAACTTTTTCTCCTCCAATATTAGGGAAAAGTAAGTGGGAAATTGACTTGGGAAAAAAAAAGAAATGAGTTTGGTCTTCCTAAACCAACATCCATCTAATCCACCACCATAACTACTCTTAATCTTAATGATTAGAAATATTTAAATATGTTGCGTGAAAACTATTTGTGACTATATAGGTATATTGGGTAAATCTACACTTTTATATAATAGTTTGCAAATCATACAAGATAAGTAAACCATACTATACTCGATAAATCTACACCTGCGTATAATAATTTGCAAATCATAAGAGAAAGACATAAACAACACCAGGTTAACTAACACAAGCTCAATCTAGCGACCGTTCCCAATGGGATTTGAGCTTGAATCAATTGACACAAGTTTTCGCACTCGAATCAATTGACACAAAATCACTTGCTTCGACCACTGAATCATCTCTTGCCGAACTTCTTCGAATAATTTTGTTCTCATGCTACATAGTTGTTTTTTCATGTATTGGTCCAATTTATTTGTAGAAATCTTTAGTAAATTTTTATTTGATTTACTTTTCATATAGAAAACATTTAGATTTAAAAAAAAAATAACAATAGCATAAATAAAAGAAAGTGAAAATGCAATGTTTTGTTTATCTTCCATTCCCAAAACCCCTCTTCTCTCTCTCTCTCTCTCTCTCTCTCTCTCTCTCTCATCAATCAATCAGTCAAACCAGTCAATAACTCTGGTCTCTGCAACGCAATTCATCAATCTGAAACCGAAAAATCAAACATCCGAAGAGGGTTTGTTCAATTCGAGGTGGGAGCTATGGCGGGGAGAGATTTACTGTTATTTCTTGCCCTAACTATTGTGTCTTCATCGCTACTCGTGCAAAAAGCCCTTGGGAATTCGGAGGGCGACGCGCTCTACGCGCTTCGCCGGAGCTTGTCCGACCCGGACAACGTTCTCCAGAGCTGGGATCCGAACCTCGTGAACCCTTGCACCTGGTTCCATATCACCTGCAACCAAGACAACCACGTCACTCGCGTGTATGTACTGTTTTCTGAAAGATGCTTTTTTTTTTTTTTAAATTATTAATTATTGTGCATAAATTTTGTTTCGAGTTCGTATTTGATGGTGGTTTAAAAAAAAATCGATCTTCAGTAGCTAATTTCGTGATTATATTTCTGTATTCGTTCCAAAATCTGGTTGGGTATATCCAAATTTATGACGATTGTGGATGTAAAAAAAAAGTCATTAAATTGCATTCTTAGACCTCGTTTGGTTGGGGAGATTAGCTATGTTTAACTAAATAATTGGATTTTGTTTGATATTTGGTATCCCTGATAACTTACCCGGGTCGACCCCCAAATATTATGTTATCATGATTTTTATGGAGAGCTTTTTGTTGGACGTCCCGGAGTTCGATAGTTGGGTTTTCATTAGATTATTTGATTTTATCTTTGACTAATCTTATCTTGGCAACCAAACGAGGCCTTAAAAGTATTTAGACTTTGGAACAGATTCAAAATCAAGTATTGTTCGTATTTGTGAAATATTTACTACTATAAATTATCCAAACAAATACTTTGGATTTATCGTAGTATGGATTTTGATAATCCCATATGAAAGTAGAGAATTGCTTTACTTATTGCAGTATATATCCATGTTTTCAGCTTCCCTATTTCTTATTGTATTTGAATCGTTCTTTCATATGCTTCGCAATGATTGTGTAACCGAATCTTACGAGCATCGTAATTCTTCGATAGGGACCTTGGAAACTCAAATTTGTCCGGTCATCTAGTGCCCGAGCTTGGGAAACTTGAAAATCTCCAATATCTGTAAGTACTAAGTAGCCTTTGCGTTTCAACTTTATTTATTTCGTGCAGCAACGACGATATTTTTTACCTTCTTTATTCGAAATCGCATTTATGAAAATATCCCCTGCTTTCCTTTCTTGGCAAGTAAATATCGTCGTTGTTATTCATCGTGCAGGGAACTTTACAAAAATAACATTCAAGGGACAATTCCTAAAGAGCTTAGTCAGTTGAAAAGCTTAATAAGTTTGGATCTGTACAACAATAATATGACCGGAACAATTCCTTCGTCCCTCGGAAAATTGAAATCTCTTGTTTTTCTGTAAGTTAGTACTTATTGCTCTTATTAATGTGATTCATTGCTTCGTACACTTTTATAGCTCTGATAAATCGATTTTTCAATGAGAAGCTGAAATTTTTGCTTCGTTTATCCATTTCGTATGCTCCCTTTAATGCATCTGAAGAGTCTTTCTTAATTTGTGATAAGGCGATAACCCGTTGTTTATTTTACAGACGTCTTAATGATAATCAGCTAAATGGACCGATCCCAAGAGCATTGACTAGTATATCTAGCTTGAAAGTTGTGTAAGTGCTTTTGCTTTGACATAACTTATATCCCGGTATATAATGAATTATGTGATGCGAGAAGATAAACTAATTATTCTCATTTACTTTTTTGTATGTTGTAGAGATGTCTCGAATAACAATTTGTGCGGTACAATACCTACTACCGGTCCATTCGAGCACATCCCCTTAAACAAGTAAGATTCTTATCCAACTCGTTTTTTTTTTCTTGATTTCTTTCCACCGTCGATTTTATCTCACATGGTTTGGTCACGTATCGGTTGTATTTGCAGCTTTGAGAACAACCCTCGATTGGAAGGTCCGGAGCTGCAGGGACTTGCAAGTTACGATACTAACTGCTCTTAAAGAACCGTGTGGCACTTTGAAGAAACTTTGCAATAACTTTTCGTTTGTTCAAATGTGGGTTTTCCTTATTAAATATGTTAATTTGGTGTTGTGTTGCGTAGCGTAAGATGCCTATTCTTGTAAAACTCGTTATGGTTTTCGAGACGGTGACGAATATCTGTTATTGAAACTATGTAATATATTGTATCTAATTATGCCGGTTCTTGTGGCTTATTCTACCATGGCTTTGATATAGCAAGTAGTTGTGACATTATCAGAAGAACAAGGTTTATTACAAGTGAATTTTCAATTTAGCACCATGAAATCATAGGCCATATTACGGCCACGCCCAGGGAGTTTTTCGTAGTTTTGGCTTACCTTAGGGGGTGGGAGTTTTTCGTAGTTTTGGCTTACCTTAGGGGGTTGCCGTAATTCGCCGGAAATCATCATAATACAACACAAGAATTTGGAAAAAAGAAAACCTAATCACACCAATTGTCATGTATATTAAAAAAAAAAAAAATAAAGAACATCATAAAATGTATAAAACTGACAACAGAACAAACTGTTTCCCCTCTGATGAAAGGAACTAATCAACAATCTTAAAAGATGTCTGCACAAAATTTTACAGGAAAACCTCAATACAACACAAGGTAGCTCAAAACTGCTCTCACAATAAATACTAAAAAAACTCCGAAACCTCATCAACAAACCTCAAAAAATCGACTCAATAACTCGTTCTTCAACAAACGAACCACATTTCTGGATAAATTACGAAAAAAATAAAAAATAAACAGATAAAACCCCTCTTGCTATCGAGGAGAACGCAAAATTGTCCAAGCCTTGCATTCTCATTCCTTATCGGAATCGCTCGAACTCGATTCGGAGCTAGAGCTTGAACTCGAGCTCGAGCTTTTAGAAGCTTTACCTTTTTTTCCTTTATCGGATGAAGCTTGATTAGGTGCTTCGATTTCTTTGTCTGTCCCTTTTTCATCTGTTTTCACTTGTACCGAAGCATCTTCTGAAATTGGCTCCAGTTTTTCCGGTGCTTCTGCGTCTAATACTTGCTTTGGAGGAAAATTAGTATCCTCCGAAGGAATGGGTCCCACAACCACATGTGTCGTGTGATGAACTTCGCCTGTACTGCTTTCGTTTGGTTGCTTATAATCCATCGTAGCAACTTCTTCGGCTTGTCTGAATTCAAGAATCGATTTCTCATGAGTGGGGCCCACTACACTCGATTTTGTATTCGGCGCCAGTCCATCATCAGATTCCTCAATTACGGTTTCCCGAACTACGAGCTCGGCTCGGGGCGGCTCCAAAAGAACAGTCTTGTCGCTGGTGTCACCAACTTGACCTCGATGGATGACATCATCACCCACCACAACTACAGTTTCTGCTGATGTCACCAACTCAGCTTTCTCGGAGACAGAATCAATGTCCTCTGTGGATCCCACTTTCAGTTCAGGTACCTCGGAAATTTTATCTTTTTCGTAACTGTGATTTACAACAGTAGGAGTAATAAGTTGGGCTTCGTTTTCTTCAACTTGACCTCGATAGATGACATCATCACCCACCAAGGCTGCAGCTTCCGCTGATGACATCGCTTCATTTTTGTCGGAAACAGAATCAACGGCTTCCGTGGACCCCACTTTCAGTTCAGATACCTCGGAAATTTTATCTTCTTCAGAACTGTGATTTACAACAGCGGGAGTAATAAGCTGGGCTTCGTTTTCTTCAACTTGACCTCGATAAATGACACCATCACCCACCACGGATGCAGCTTCCGCTGATGTCATTGCTTCATTTTTCTCGGAAACAGAATCAACGGCTTCTGCGGACCCCACTTTCAGTTCAGGTACCTCGGAAATTTTTTCTTCTTCATAACTGTGATTTACAACAGTGGGAGTAATAAGACGGACTTTGCATTCTACGACTTGACCTCGATGGATGACATCATCACCCACGGCCACTGCAGCTTCCGCTGATGTCACCAACTCAGCTTTCTCCGAAACAGAATCAACGTCCTCTGTGGACCCCACTTCCGGTTCAGGTACATAAGTGCGAGGTATAATAAGCTGGACTTTGTTTTCTTCCTCGGATAGTGTCTTGTCTTCAGAAGAATATTCTCGATCGGGGGAATATTCTCGCTCGAGTTCCCTCTCGTTCAACTCCTTTCTCGACACATCAATAAGTTCCGCTCTTGTTTCAGATATTTGTGGCTCTGAAATATAATCTGTTTCTTCTTCCTTATTCTCCCTCGAGTTAACTGAGTTTGCCTCAACAGCTCTAATAATACTAAAGTCGCCGACATTATCTAATTCAGACAAGAGTTCTTCTTCGTCGATTTCTTCAAACTCAACCGCCTCTTCAACTGTTGTCTGAACATCAACAACATGAGAACTAGTTGTTATCTCGGTACTAGCATTGGTTTCGATGGATCGAGAGTTAACTTTTAATGAGGTGTCACTATCGAGCTCGTTGACCGAGTCAGGAATGTTCGATTTCGGTGACTCGGCTTTGTTACTTGATTCCTGCATCGAGACAAAAGAGGGATATCATGATTCAAGAAACAAGGTTTTAAGACAGGCTCAAATATTCGGCATTAGAGTTTCTTAACTAAATTACAATCTTTATTAGATTCCAAGTTGCACAAAGTTATCACCGGCATCAAAACGGAACTCAACTTACGGCAAAGTTTATATTCACAATAACCAAAAATAAAGTATTAAAGCAAAGATTTTTCAATTTTAGTTGTGCAACGAATTATCCATCAATCATCTCAATTACTACAAGAAATAACTTTCCGAAAAATGGGTTATAATTTTACCTGCACTTCACTAAGATGCTCAGCAATCGGCTTAACTACACGCTCTTCCAAAGATTCTAACGAGGCCACGATATTTTTATCCGGGCCCGCATTTTCAGTGTCCACACCATCATTGTACATTACAGCATGTACTGGAATCACATCAGAAGAAATCGAAGATGACGAGATGTTTCTACTCACTCCTCTTCGAGGGCTCGAATCGTAAACAGGTTCCCTCGGTTGTACTTCATCAACCAGCAACGTATTCTCGACTGGAAAATCGTTATTTTCTGCAGAAATTTCTGGATCAATGAAAACCCTTTCGCTCACTTCCGAAAGCGAAGAAGACCTCGAATAATTACTACTTTTCGAATCTTCTTCTTCGTCATCAGAAGATTGACTTCCATGCCCAACATGCTCAGAAACACACTCGATTTTGGAAGAGATAGTTTCCGGTTCTTGATTTACTTCTTCTTCTTCAACAACTTCTTCTTCTTCTTCTTCAACAACTTCTTCTTCTTCTTCAACAATTTCTTCTTCTTCTTCATTTTCTTGATCTAGTGGCGGGCCCGCCTCAATTTCTTCTTTCGTCCACGGGATCGGGTCCACTTCCAGGATAACACTATCTTCTTCCGAGAGCTTCCTCTCTTCCAAATCCGCCACCGAACTAACCGACTCGGTTTCCGGAACAGAACTCACCTTCGACTCACTGAGTTCGCTCGATTGCCGCTGAAACAAAGAATAGCTCGAAGATTCATCTTCCGAAACAGGCACAAAGTAAGGCCTCAAGTTTCTGCTCGGCGCGAAAATCGAAGAAGGCCGTACGTTAAAACTCTCGTGCCTTCGGAAAAAGGCCGCTTCCCTCGATTGAGACACAAACTCCTCCTGAAATCCTTCCCCTACAAGATTCGGCTTCTCTTCGCTCGAGTCGTAAGGAATATCGAAAGGGTTTCGCCTCTGTAATAAAATAGAAGGAGCCGAGCCGGGGATAGGTGGCAAACCTACATCGTAGTATGAATCTTGAGGAATATTCTCGAACGGGTTTTGTCTTCTTGTGGAAATAGGGGCGATGTTGAAAGGAAGATCGGAGCTTTCGAAGTCGATCAAGTTCCTCTCTGCAAGAAGGGAGGCCGTGTTTTTCCTCAATCTTCTCCTTAAAATTAGATTCTCCAAACGTTGGTTCCTTTCGATTTCGGAACTTCCTAAATCCATTAGATTCTTTTGGTCCTCCTCGGTCCACGTAATGGCGGATTTTGTCTGCTCTTCTTTATCTTCGTTTTCATCTTCGTTTTCATCATCTGCAACTTCCAAGTCCTCGTGAGTTTCGGTCTCGTTGTCCGATTCGTGGGTGGTGGTGGAGGAGGACTTTAGAGACGTTTCCGAGGCCGACACGGAGCCGCCACGGGAGATATGAACTGGCTGAGGTGGCTCTTCATCTAACAGTGGATGGAGTTCGTCGAGCATCGGCATTATATCAGCCATTGATGCATCGGGTGACGAACTTTCGGCTCTACTACTCGAACCAGAATCCGAATCATCATCTTCTTCTTCTTCTTCCACTTCTTCATCTTCTCCATCTTCCTCTTCTTTTTCTCTCTCTTCTTTTTCTCTCGCTGCGTATTCCCTCTCTTCTTTTTCTCTCTCTGCATATTCTCTCTCTTCAACTCGTGTCCAAGGAGAACGAGGAGGAGAATCAAGGGAATCAACATTCACCATCTCGGAATCGAAAGAATCCGCTTCCGATTTCTCATCATCCGATCGATCAAGAAACTCATCATCCATCTTCTGCTTATACCTCAAACCCTCCAAACCTCTGTGTTCTTCCCAAATCTCACCCTCATTCGATTCAATTTCCCTCGATCTCTCCTCGATCAACGGAGCTGAAAAATCAGGATGCTCAGCTGACTGATCTGCCACACCACTGAATCTCTCCACAAAATAGCTCTCGTTTTTTTCGACAACAGCACCAGCAGTATCTAAAGACACACCAGTCTTTATCGAAACAGACTCAAATGTCTTCTTCTCTTCGATCTCGATTTCGGGTATGTTCGGCTGCCCGTAACTTAAAAGCACACCGAGTAACACAGCGGTGCATACTAGGATAGGGGATGTGGACAACAACAACGAAAAGACGAAAGGGAATGATCGGTGTAATAATATCAAGAAACAGAGCATACCCACAAGGAATGGATGATTGCAAACTGATCTAAAAACCCCTTTGATTGTAAAGATCACTCCTTTTCTCAATTTAATTCCAATCTCCAACAAATCACTATTACCCATTTCTCTGTTTCTCACTCCTAAATCTGCTACATCAATAAATAAATTCAGACAACACCCCAAATAAAAAAGAGCATGTAATAAAATTAGTCAAGAACTCACCTTTAATGAATTTCAAGAATTGAGATTTTTGAGAATCAGACAGTACCTGAAAAACCCAAATAAAATTAAACAAAAAAAATTAATTTGACCAAAAACAAACAAAAATTGAGCTAAGTACATACCAGCTTGAAACATGGATCAATCCAGCAAGAAAAGAAAGAAAGTAAAATCTTGATTTCTTTTGTTATTACACCAACTCTCTCTTCTTTTCTCGTCTGAGAGCTACAGCTAATGATCCATTATTTTTTGTCTATCTGTACTCAAGGAATCAAATTTGTACACGGAGAAAAAAAAATAAAAGAGTTACTGCAGAAAAAAGGGAAAGTTGCGATCTTTATCTCTCTTTCTGCCCACTTTTTTCAATTTAGTTATTGAAATTGGATTTACGATGCTAATGATCTGATGCATACAGCAATTTTGGATTAAAAAAGATGGGATTTTGATCAATTTTTTGACTAAAGAATTGCTGATCTGAAAGCTGTTGTTTGAGGGCGCAGCACAATGCTGTGAGGGTGTGTGTAGATGATAATCACACATTGGGAGAATTCTTTTAAATTTTTAATTGTGTATTAGGAATGATGGTTATCATTACTTTCTTGGATTAAGGGCTTTAAA